GGACCTCTTCCACATTCAAAATCTGGCAATAATTACCTGTTTACGATTATATGCGCAACTACACATTTTCCTGAGGCCAATCCTTTACATTTTGTAACTGCTAGAGCAATCACCAAAACACTGGTTAAGTTTTTCACGGTCTTTGGTTCAGAGTGATCATGGAACAAATTTTACATCTCAAACGTTTTCTCAAGAGCTTAAACGACTCGCCATTAAACATAACATCTCCACTGCTTATTATCCAGAGAGTCAAGGTGCTTTAGAGAGGTTTCATCAGACAGATAAGGTCTATAAGTTCTCACATACTCTTTTGAGCTTGAGAGAGGAAGAAATTCTGTGGTTGCTTTTCGCTTCACGAGAGGTGATACAAGACTCACTGGGGTAGAACTTTTTTGGGCACACTTTTTGCTGTCCTTTAGCTGTATTGAAAGAGAAGTGACTCTCTGATTCAAAAAGCACCACTGTTCCTGAATATTTTTCACAGTTTCGTACATGTTTATATAGGGCTGTGACACAGGGTTCCCGCGGGTCCTTAAAAAGTCTTAAAATGTCTTAAATTAAAATCCGGGAAATTAAGGTCTTAAATTGTCTTAAATTTTACCGTAAAGTGGCTGTAGGTATTAAATTTTCAGCTGGTCTGCTTAATGACGATAGGGAAGCACAGTGGTCCACCGTAAAACATCTAATAGTTGATTAATTCAGTATGTGAATCAGGAGAGAAATGACAGTCTCCGTGATTTATTAGACTTTTTTTCTATCATTTTAGACGGGGTTGTGCCGGGCTTGGGCTTGCGCAGTAAATGAACAGTCATGTGATGCATTTCGATTAGCGCGAGGAAGTAATAAAATAGTAATAAAATTGTTTGTTACAACATTGAAATCCATCCCTGCAAAGGTGAATCAAATGATGACAGAGATGTCAAAAAGAGCGAATTATGTCAGCGGTCAGGTCAGCCGCCTGTTTTATTCGAACAGTCATTCTAGCCGCTGGTATATAAAGGTATTTTGGCGGTCGCTCGTACACTGCGTTTTACGGTAGAGCACCTGGGAGCAGTGTCCAGCGAGCTGACAGGACATGACAAGGACACTCGCTACATTGAAACCGCTGTCATGGAAAATGAAATGAATGTTCTTGACTGGTGGAAGATGAACAAACAATCCTACCCAAAACAAATTAGCCAGATCAGTAGTGTATTCTGGCCAGTAGCAGCAGCAGAGAAAAGGTGTTCAGTGCTGCTCAGTGAGCGCAGGACTGCGCTAAAGCCATTTACAGTGGATTCAATAATGTTCCCCCACAAAACGCATAACCTAATCTTGATAAGTAAAGAATTTCAAATTATAACTAAATATTAATGAAATCATAATGTATGCAGAGTATACAGGCTAATGCTGGCATTATTCTTTTGAGCATTACATTATTCAGCTTCACCATCGCCTTACTGTGAAGAGAAGTGGCAAAACAAATCCCACTGAGCCTTTATCTTAATTTCGTTATTGCCAAATATCTGTCATCATTTATCATTTATTTTAATTTATTTGCTAAGAAAGACTTATTTTTATTGGTGTGTTGGCCAATTCAAACGTTAAGTATATTTACCCAGGCCTCTTTAGAGTGTTGAGATGTTAAGATGTTACAGGGGGCTTATTTTTTAATTTTTTTGTTCCAACTTGGCCTGTAGCCTATGTTATGGATAATGTTAACGCATATAAACAAATCATTCATGAAAAAAGACAAAAGAGCTGTGCATGTGCACATTTGGATAATGTCGGGCTATAAACGGGTTCGGGCTTTTTAAAAGCTGTCAATCAAAATGTACTTGTCGGGTTCGGGCTCTATCGGGCCTACCTTTCATAGCCTGATAACAGCTCTAGTTCAGACGCCCCCTCAGAGTCTCATTTTACCACCAGACACCCAAAAGGCAGATACTGCGGGTTATCCATAATGTGACGAGGCTTGATTTATTTAACGAAAACATTAAAATGAGTAGCCTATTCCAAAGAAATTATATAATTTTTGGGTCTTAAATTATATTTGTTGAGGCCTTAAAAATGTCTTAAAAAGCATTAAATTTTACTTTTAAAAATGGTGCAAGAACCCTGTGACAGTGAAAATTTTTATTACTGCAGTGGGAAGACCCCCGGTGTTGCAGTTGCAGTGGTTTTGTTTACTCAAAACTGAAAATTCATTCTGTTATTAATTACTAATCTTTTATTATAATTTTTTTATATGAAAAAGCAGTAAATTATGTAAAATGTGAAATTAAAGCAATAGTCCAGAGAGCTGGTTTTCCGCGTCAGTTTAGGTGCACCGTTTATAGCCTATAAAGTGCACACGTGGCGGCGGAGGCTGGACTAATGGATGGCATTAAGGTCCAGCCGCCTAATTCATTACATGTTTTGATTAACTAATTCTTTAAATACAACTCTCTTGAGCTCTAAAGAGAAAAACACAGAAGAAGTTTGCTGTTAAATTAATTTTAGCAGTGACACAACCGCTAGTCATTTTCACTTTAGTTTTTCAGTTAGGATAAATATTAGGAGTAACCTAAAAAAATGTTTAGTTGGACACTGCACAGTCCTACAATAGTCTACACTATAGTTAATATTATAATATCATATCATTATATCATTTTCATCAATATTATTAAAACTAAGCTATAAAATTGATAAAACGCAGAACCCTTAAAAATATTTGCTTTCATTTTGACATTTCTAAAGCGCACTTTTACAGTTGTGTAAAGAAACATCCCATTATGCAGCAGCTGTCTCAAGTTGGAACACTTAAAAAAATGACTTGAGTTTAAAGATGATCGGCCTGCGAGGTCAAGTTTATAGTGGTAGTAAGTAAGTGGATGCCACAGATCAACCTCTCACTTGCGCTGCAGGTATCCTGCATGATAATGTAGGGTAGAGAGTTCTCTTGTCACGTGATAATAAAGATACTGAGAAGGACCTGCACACAGTCTTGAGCACAGACAGACACACATGAGCAAACGCAACGAAATGAGAAGGAAACATAGAAGCGTTGCCCCGATAGGACACGATAATAAACTTCAACTGGCGAGCTGAGCTGAATCAAAACAGCTGAGTACCGTCATAACATGTGACCATAATAAATACACGTGGACAACCTAAACAAAACAAACCTCCAAGACAAAACAGGCACTCCGGACATCTCTGTTTTGCTACACCAATGCCTTAAAATGTAACTAAGTAACACATTTAGCTACTATTTTTTAGATGACATTAAATTGTAACATTTACCTTTTTCCTAACGCTGATATTGGTGTGATAATGAAGCGTGATGACTCGGTTATGATTTATTTACCTGTTATATAAAAAGTGGGTTTGCTTGCTGGTGTAGGCATAGTTTGACATATTTTCCTAAAACTTTAAACATTTATGTTATTTAGAATAAAACAGAAAGAAATAAGGAGAATAAAATATAATTTAAACCACTCCTTTGGCACTAAAGCCACGATCCGTGTCTGCGTAAATAAACGGTGTTGTTGCTAACCTTCATTAATAAAGTCAGTAATAGCGAAAGTGTGCATAGCCTAATATTATAGTTATAAAAAGTATATTACTGGTCTAAGTCAGTAACTTGCATCTAAATTGTTGGCGCAGTGCAGTTTTATTGCATGTACGAATCAGATTATGAACAATAATTAAGAGCAAGTTTTTCCTTTATTACATTCTTACCGTAAGGTGTATTTATTTATTTTTATTTTTTTTATTTATTAAAGGGGTGAGAACATAATCACTGGCAAAATGTTCCTTCCGTACCACCAACAGGTTATGCCTCTTTACGTAACAGCGACATACACTTGAGGGTAGGTTAAACAATTCTAAGATGCTCACAACTTTGATGAGCCAGCTACCAAGAAAACTGACGTCATTGGATTAGTGAGAAGTTTTCCAATGTTGTTCAGTGACATTTCTGATATAACGTCAATTATTGAGCATGATATTGATGTTGATTTTACCCAGGCGATAAAGCAACATTTAAATTAAAAGTTGGGTGAATTAAAAGAAACTTGTTGGGTAAATTGTTTGAGGTTGACTGGTGGGTAAATGCCGTGCACCACTAATATATGCTTTAATTTAATATATTATTTCTAAATAATATATACAATAAAATAATTCATATAATGTATACATTTAAAACAATGATGAATTTAACTTAGCACTGGGTTACTATTATGGCCATCGTACAACTTTTTTTCCTTTTATTATTTTATTTATTTTTATAGCATTACTGTCATTAGTAATTTGGTAAAGTTCAAGACGAAAGTAGTAAAAAAAGAAGTGAAATGAAAAAAATGGAGATGCCATTTCTGAGTGCAATATTTTTTATTGAACAAAAAGAAAATGTACATACAATACAACAGTAAACATCACATTACAGTGAACATTAAACATACAGTTTGGTACCTTCTATTTTACTGAGACCCAAAAGGGACATGATGGTGGGAAAAAAAAACTCAGTGGGAGGAAAATAAGGTAAATATCTATTTTTAAGTTTTTGCGTTACCTCCCAGGGTTTTGTTTTCCCTCGCAATAGTTTTGCGTTCCCTGGCAAAGATCTTTTATGTTCCGTTGCAACACTGTTGTTCCACAAACACTTTCTTTTCACTTTATATTTAAAAAATGTCGGTAATTTGTATGTACAGTTCAGCATGTACCATGTACATGGTTGATGTGCATATTGTGCATTCGTCTTGCAGTGGTTGAGAGCTCTGCACATCACTATGGTGTGTTTCACATAGCATTTCTTCATTCGGCACTGGGTTGCTTACATGGTCGCCGAACAATGTTTTTATTTTTTATTGCACAACTACTATTAGTATTTCCACAAAATAACAAAATATTTATTGATAAAATAAATTAATAAAAAATACAATAAAAAATGGGGATGCCGTAACAGCTGATGAATCAGTCGGTCCCTGAGTCTGGGGTCTTGAAGATTTCTGGTCTTGAGGTGGCACAGGGATGCTGTCATGGCTGGCTACAACTTCCTTTTTTTAGTGTTTATGTTTTTTTTAACTACTATCATCAGTCATACTAAAATATACAATAATGTCTAAAGAAAAAACTAACAAGTAAAAAGAAGGGAATATTAAAAAATGAGGGATCCTCTGACTGCTGATGGACGATGCGGTTCTCGGGTGCAGGTCTTTCCACGTCTTCAGGCTGAAACAAAAACAAAATTGAGGTCTGCTATTTAATGCATTATTAACCAAAGAACATCTAAAAAAGATTTTTAAACAATTATGAAAATTTAGGAAGATAAAAAAAAGGTGCAAATATTAAAGAATGTTCAGAATGTAAATAATACCGTAAACCAGTCATGGAGACTCAGTTTCTCAAGTTCAATTCGCTGCTCTGGCTCGATCTGGAGACAGCAGCGGATCAAATCACAGCATTCTGTGCAGAAAGAAGAGAGAGAGCTCAGATTTACTCCACAACTTAATTAATAAATAATAGTTTGTATTATTCAGATTGACCTCTTTCCTTGACCCAAATAGAGATTTTACCTTTTGTCAAGTGATCTTTGGTCCAGATGTTACGTCTGATCATTTGCAGGTCGTGTCGATTTGGAAAATCTCCACACATCATCACATAAAGGAGTAGCCCAAGAGACCACACTGTCGTTGTTTTACCGTGGTACTCGCCAGTTATCCGATACTCAGGTGGGACATAGTCATCTGTGCCTGAATGAGAGAGGTTTTAACCATTAGTCATTAGTCACCAGATCGACAGTATTAATCGATTAGTGGACTCCATTCTATGATGCTATGTGAGAGCTTGACTCGCGCAGAGTCTATTGTGAACTCATCACTACAGTTTGAGACTCACTTCACAGTTTAAGGGATCATACATACCAGCAAAACTTGTGTAAGGAGCATCGGTGAGGATTTCCCCGCATCCAAAGTCGATCAATTTGATTTCGAGGGTGTCCGGGTTGATCAGGATGTTCTCCATCTTGATATCGCGATGAAAGACTTTGCGTCTGCAGCACGTTTGAGCTGCAAATATTACCTGCCACATGATCAACCGTGCCCCATCCTCATCGATGATCGACTCTTGGCGCAGGAGAAAGGAGAGCAGCTCTTCAGAGGGCATGGGCCGCTCTAGGACCATGATGTATTCGTCCTCATCCACGCGCCAGTCCAAAAGCTTAATTATTTCCTGTATTGCGGGCTCTTGGTTTGCAAGAACTAAAAGAGCAACCTCCATTGGAAGTGATTCTGGATAGCCGTCCTGGAAGAAATATATTTGTTATGATGATTGGATGGATATTGTGTAAAACATGATGACAATTACAGTTTGTCTAGTGATTTATAGATACTTAAAGTGAAACAGTGAATGAGAGTTGAAGAGCACAGCATACTTACAATGTCGATGAACTTGACGTTCTCGGTGTAGGCAGTTTTAATTGCCACCTGCTCAACAGAACAAAGAAAGCATGTGTTATAGAATTATACACAATTATTGTGTTCAGAGTTCACATTTGTCCAATGCTATCTCATGGCAATTTGTCACTTTTTGATTTAGTGGCTGATTCGTATGAATTTGTACAATCTCATTCTTGTAATTTGCTTATCCAGTTTGACATTTGGGTTTAGGGCTGGAGTTTGGTGCCACGCATCATTTTAAAAATCATTTTCATACGAATGAACTCATAAATTCATACCAATTAGCCACTAAGTGACAAAAGCTAAAATAGTTCAGTTTTCTCTTGAGATCAGGCTGATTTTCAGTCATTAACACTGAACAGTTTAACAAAGTAGCAGTTTAATTTATCCCAAAAATAAGAATCACATATCTATCTATTATTTCTTATCTGATACTCTGATTTAAAGTGGTGATCTAGATATTAACTGATGAAAATTGACGATACCTGAAGGCCATCCTCTAGTCGGGTTGCAGCTTGAACAAGTCCAAAGCCTCCTTTACCCAGCAGAACGCCAAGTTCATAAGAGGATGAGTTGATGACTGTCAAAAGAAAAATCAAAGATGTTGATATAAAATGTCAATCAGTAGAGAGTTTATTTAATCCAAGACTATTGTCTGATTCATATACGCACTCAATATTTGTACCTAAATTCACACAAAACAGGACAGTTTAAATGAACTGTAGTAGTTATAGAAATATTTATGCTTCATGTAAAATATACATATTCAACACAGACACATAAACAAATGAACAATGAAATCTTGTCTAATGTGGAAAAACCGTTGTGCTATTTATCATCTATTATTAAACAAAACACATAAAACATTTGAGTGCTGATTAAATATTGACATTAATAAAGACATTGCCATAAAAGTGTGTGTGTGCATGCGTGTGCTGGGTTAACTACCAAACTGACCCATTATTTCACTGCTCTTCTTCTCTTCGTTGGTCTGAAACAGAAACAGAAATCATACTTAGTGTCATCACACAACCTGCATAAAACAAATATAGGCAACATGCCTAAAGTAAAGAAAGTGGACATAAAAGAACATGAAGAATGAATATAAAATAGTGTATTAGGACTGACTATACAGCTTTACATAAAACTGTAAATCTAATGCGTATTGTCTACTAACTTATCAAATCAAAAATATTAAACTCATTAACATGTATTTACCTTAATCCAGCTGTGGCGGTTGAGTCGCTCCAGTTTAATCCGCTCTCTGGGGTCTATCTTGAGACAACAGCGCATAAAATCGCAGCATTCTGTGCAGAAAGAAGAGAGAGACATGATCACCTTGAAATTTATTTTTTGGTAATTCAAATTACAACTGTTCTGTGCTGAAATGAAGATCTCACCTTCTGACAGGCCTTCTATGTCTTTATTCATGATCGTATTCAGTTCTCGTCTTGTTGGAAACTTCCAGAAAAGCATTACAAACAAGACTATTCCGAGAGACCACACTGTCGCTGGTTCTCCGTGGTATTTGCCAGTCTCCAGAAACTCAGGAGGACGATACTCCGCTGTGCCTGGAGGAAAGAGATTTTGTTTCAGTTAACAAGGCATGTTTAATTGAATATTCATTACTAAGCAAGAATTCTCTTGATTCACAACAGTGAATTACTTCATGAGAGCTCAAGTCATGACCACAGTTTAAAGGGATTATACGTACCAGAATAGTCTGTGTAAGCCTCATCTTCGAGGATATCCCCGCACCCGAAGTCAATCAATTTGACCTCAAGGGTGTCCGGGTTGATCAGAAGGTTCTCCAGCTTGATATCTCGGTGTAACACTTTTCTTTGGCAGCAAGTTTGAGCTGCGAATACGACCTGTTTCATGATGAACCGTATGTCATCTTCATCAATGGGCCCAACATAGCTTTCTATGAAATCGTTCAAGGGCTGACAGGGTATGGGCCGTTCCAGGACCATGCAGTAGAAGTCACGTTCCACCTTCCAGTCCAGAAGCTCAATAATTTCAGGAACCCTTGGGCCTTGATTCACAAGGGTTTGAAGAACAATTTCTATTGGAAGTGGTTGAGCAAAACCATCCTAGAAGAAAGAAGGTTTTTATGATGAATCAGTGGTAAAAGAATTGAAATCAGTCGATTGTCTACTAAAATATTATTTGCTGTCTGTGATTAAAGAATTAATTCACCCAATTATGTTATTAAAAACCGTCATGTTGTTTCAATACTCTGACAGCTTCTTTCATCTTAGCAACACAAATCCCTCATCCTTCATCAATAGCAATGAGATGCTCAAAGTCCAGAAAAGGAACCAAAACCTTTGTTTTTTAGTCTTAAAAGTGTTCTTGGAGCTTTTTATGTAGAGTTGATCTCTAGGGTTTAATCAAAAATATTTAAACTTGTGTTCTGAAGATGAATAAAGGTCTCGGGGGGTTGGAATAACATGAGGGAAAGTAAATAATAACATAACTTTATTTATGGGTGAACTCATCCTTTAATGTTAGCATGACGTGTTTGAAATGTAAAATTGTGGAACAGAGGAGAAACAGAGAGCACAGTTTTCTTACAATGCGGATGAACGTTGTGTCGAACATCGAGCAGTATTTCACTGCAACCTGATCAACAAAACAAAAGAGTGGATGTGTTAGAATTATGAGCAAAGGCAATGATGAGACCAGAATAACAGGACAAAAATGATTGGCTAGATTAATATTGCTGTTCAGATTCATACCTGAAGTCCATCATCCAAACGAGTCGCTGCATAGACGGTTCCAAAACCTCCTTCACCGAGCTCATCACCAACTTCATATTGGCGTGAATTGATGACTGTTAAAGAGAAATCAGAGATGAGGGAATAAAATGTGACAGCACTTACTACTACTAAATCCAATTAAGAGCTACTTTTTATTTTCTAAAGACAAATTAGCTGAATATTAGTTATCAACAACATTTAAACAATCTGTATATTGAAGTCAGTCTGAAGCACAGCCCACTAAACTGTAGGGGTCTAACTATTCGCACCTAACCATTTCAGTACAGGACTTTAAGTTCAGTCAGTGTGTACAAAATATGGACAAAAAGACATTTGAGGGGAAAAGTGACACTGCTGGATGTAAATGCTCAGTAGTGCTCTGCTGCAACACTGCACTGACAAACACATCTGTGTGCATGAATGAACAAGAGTGAGTACAACAACTTCACAAATATTCACAGTGTTCCAGAATTCAGCATTTTCTGAATACAGGTGAAAAATGTTTCATTAGAAACGTAAATGTTACTGGTGTTTTCTTCTGTCAGATAACATTTGGCAGAGTTTTTAGTTTTATTTTTATTCATGCAGCAAAGGTTTAATAATTATTGTCCATTATTTTTAATGACTGAAAAATCCTAATATATATTCTAATTTATTTGTATATTGATTTATGTAGAATTCACCTTTTGTCACGTTATTAGTCCTCTAACTTTTACTTTTTTAATAGTAATAAACGGTAAACAAAAATCACAAGCATTTTTTAAGTTTTGCTTGTTTTTTTATTTCAAACTGTAATAAAATTGAACAGAACTATTTATCCTTACACCCTACTAAACTGAAGTAAACCTGTAAATGTTCACTGAATTACTGAATGAGTGTCAAGGTAGCAAACTTACCGAAAATTGTTTTCTCCTTCTCCTGAGGAACTGATGGCACTGCAGCTTGAAGGACATCATCCTCACTACAGTCGGACGTGGCACAGGCTGTAGGGACGTCGTCAACACTTTGAGCTGCAGCATGGTCTGGAGTTTGGAGGGTCAGTTCAGTGCTGGGAGATTGGAGGACATCACTGTGGTCGTCAACACGGACTGGACAACCACTGGTGCTTAGTTCCTCCGATAGCAGGTATTCAGTCCTATCATCAATATCTCGACCTAAAAAGAGAAAAATATGTAATAACTAAGGATTGTTTTATTTAACTTTTTTTAATGAAATGTTAATTAGCCATGTTAAAGTGTGCTGTACATTTTGAAGTGACTATTTGGGGTGTTGTAGCCCCAAAATGTCAGAATTCTGAAGTGGGAATTATTAGCCCCCCTTTGATTTTTTTTCTTTTTTAAATATTTCCCAAATTATGTTTAACAGAGCAAGGAAATTTTCACAGTATGTCTGATAATATTTTTTTCTTCTAGAGAAAGTCTTATTTGTTTTATTTTGGCTACAATAAAAGCAGTTTTAAAATTTTTAAACACCATTTTAAGGACAAAATTATTAGCCCTTTTAAGCTACTTTTTTTTCGATAGTCTACAGAACAAACTTTTATGTTTAGAAATGTGTTGAAAAAAATCTGTTCTTTATTAAACAGAAATTGGGAAAACAAATAATCAGAGGGGCTAATAATTCAGAGGGGCTAATAATAATACTTTAACTATAGTAGTACAGTAGTACAGAAAATACAGTAGTAAATTCCGTCATCATTTACTGACCCTTGATTTATTCCAAACAATTCAGAGTTTTTTATTGTTTGTTTTTTTTAACAGAAAAGAAGATGCTTCAGAGAATGTTGAAACCTGTAACCATTGACTTTAATAGTATTTTTTTTTCTACTATGGATGTCAATGGTTACAGGCTTTCAACATTCTTCAATATATCTTCTTTTCTGTTCAACAAAACAGCAAAACATGGTTTGGAACAAGTCAAGAGTGAATAAATGATAGAAGATTATAATTTTGGTGAACTATCTCTTTAAATAAATAACCTTAGATTTTAATAATACATTAGTAAATGTTGATGCTGTGCAAGTATTTTTCATTCTTATTTCATAAATACATTAACTAACATGAACTATTGGAACATTATTGTGAAGTGTTCCCAATTTTGAAACTAAGCAGGCATTTATTAAATCAGTTTTAAATGTTTAATTTTCTTAAATAAAATAATAATCATAAAAAAGAAGCTATTTTAAACATTTCTCCCTAACTGAAGCGTAAATGAATCAAACCATTTATTGATACACTAATATTAAATTGCCGTCTAATCTGTGCATGTTCATTGAATTACTTAATGGTGAATTAGCAAACTGACCGATCACTGTTTTCTCCAAATTCTGTAGCTGGCATGACTGTGGCTCAGTGTCCCGAAGAACACGTGCACACAAGTTAGCTAGCAAAGGCACTGCAACTTGAAGGACATCATCCTCACTACAGTCGGGAGAATAGAGGACAACACTCTGGTCGTCAACATGGACTGGACAGCCACTGGTGCTTGGTTCCTCCGATGACAGGTATTGAGTCCAATCATCAATTTCTCGACCTAAAAAGAGAAATAATATGTAATAACTAAGGATTGTTTTATTCACATTTGATAATTGTAAGATTAATTTGCCATATTATTGCAAGCTGTACATTTTGAAGTGACTACTTGGGGTCTCGCAGCCCACCATTATAAATGTAAAACGCAGTCAAACAAACATACACTGAAAAAGTGACACTGCTGGATGTAAATGCTCAGTCGTGTTCTGAATACTGAAACATTGCACTGACAAACACATCTCTGTCAATGAAGGAAATCAATAAATATTCAGAGTGCTCCTTAATTTTGTACAATCATTTTTAGGTGATTGTCTTTTCTAACTGTTTGTCTTGCTCTTTTTTGAATATGGGTAAGAAATGTAAGTATTTGTCATTGTTCACAGCAAATGCTGTTCAAGATATTTTCATTCTTAATTCTAGTTAGCAAATACATTAAATAACATCAACTAATCAAACATTAAAGTAAAGTGTTTCCAGTTCTTTAATTATTTTAATCAGGCTGGCATTTATTCAAATGTTTTAATTTGTTATTATTCGCAATTGACAAAACAGAAAAGCACTTTTAAGTTTTGCCATTTTTCTCACAAACTTATTATTACACTGCTGGTAAACTGCCGTCTAATCTGTGCATGTTCATTGAATTACTTAATGGTGAATTAGCAAACTGACCGATCACTGTTTTCTCCAAATTCTGTAGCTGGCATGACTGTGGCTCAGTGTCCCGAAGAACACGTGCACACAAGTTAGCTAGCAAAGGCACTGCAGCTTGAAGGACATCATCCTCACTGCAGTCGGGAGAATAGAGGACAACACTGTGGTCGTCAACATGGACTGGACAGCCACTGGTGCTTGGTTCCTCCGATGACAGGTATTCAGTCCAATCATCAATTTCTCGACCTAAAAAGAGAAATAATATGTAATACCTAAGGATTGTTTTATTCACATTTGATAATTGTAAGATTAATTTGCCATATTATTGCAAGCTGTACATTTTGAAGTGACTACTTGGGGTCTTGCAGCCCACCATTATAAATGTAAAACGCAGTCAAACAAACATACACTGAAAAAGTGACACTGCTGGATGTAAATGCTCAGTCGTGTTCTGAATACTGAAATATTGCACTGACAAACACATCTCTGTCAATGAAGGAAATCAATAAATATTCAGAGTGCTCCTTAATTTTGTACAATCACTTTTAGCTGATTGTCTTTTCTAACTGTTTGTCTTGCTCTTTTTTGAATATGGGTAAGAAATGTAAGTATTTGTCATTGTTCACAGCAAATGCTGTTCATGATATTTTCATTCTTAATTCTAGTTAGCAAATACATTAAATGACATTAACTAATCAAACATTAAAGTAAAGTGTTTCCAGTTCTTTAATTATTTTAATCAGGCTGGCATTTATTCAAATGTTTTAATCTGTTATTATTCACACTTGACAAAACAGAAAAGCACTTCTAGGTTTTGCCATTTTTCTCACAAACTTATTATTACACTGCTGTTAAACTGCCGTCTAATCTGTGCATGTTCATTGAATTACTCAATGTGGAAGTGAACAAACTGACCAGTCACAGTTTTCTCCATATCCTGCTGCTGGCATGACTGTGGCTCAGTGTCCTGAAGAACACGTGCACACAAGTCAGCTAGCAAAGGCACTGCAGCTTGAAGGACATCATCCTCACTACAGTCGGACGTGGCACAGGCTGTAGGGACGTCGTCAACACTTTGAGCTGCAGCATGGTCTGGAGTTTGGAGGGTCGGTGCAGTGATGGGAGAATGAAGGACATCACTGTGGTCGTCAACATGGACTGGACAACCACTGGTGCTTGGTTCCTCCGATGACAGGTGTACAGTCCTATCATCAATATCTCGACCTAAAAGAGAAATAATATGTAAAAATTAAGTATGTTTAAAGTTTGTCCAGAAACTTGACGTGCTAGTTTGGAAATATAGAGAATAACTGAAGAAATATACTAAATCGACTTTAGATACACATTGACTGTATGTTACAGACTTTATAAAACTGATTAACAAAACTTAACAAATAAAGTTTTAAAATTAATAATAAAAAACTTCCACGATAGCGAGTGTAGGGCCCTATATGCAGACTTTGGTGTTCTTATAGCATCGGTATATGGTTTACCATCACTGGTCATCGTGGGTGGAGAGTTTTTCTCCACGGGTTCTTCTCGATGGGGTTTGTTTTCTGTCCTTCCCCGCAGGACTAAAGCAATTACTCCGAGTAATGTAAACATTTTAAAGAGTAAATAGTTAACAATTTGAAAAGCACAAATCTACGAACAAATAACTGTCAGTAAAGACGAAGAAAGTCTTCGTATATCTTCACACTACAGTGGATTGTGAGTAATGGCGCCTGTTCAGCAGAACGTCATCTTTAGAACTTGATGAAACGTGACATTCTAAATTCCAATAAAACCAAGCTGAAACGTGATTGTCCCGTTTAAAACTTCATAAAAAAATTTAATACAAAGTAATAGTCAATCATTTAGTGGCTTTTTTCGTGTGCGTGTGTGTGTGTGTGTGTGTGTGTGTGTGTGTGTGTGTGGAGGGGGGGGGGTGTTGATGGAGAGCTTCAATAAAATCGCTCAGCATATTCAAATTTGTCATGCATTTTTTCGAGTCTTCTTTTTGTATTCACATGATAAATTTATAAATAATCGGCAAGTTTTTAACCGTTTAAGAAAACAATTTATTTTAATCAAAACAATTATTTTGCTCTAAAAACTCTTTTTTTAAACTCACTAATGTGGTTGAGGTTTATCTGTAACGTTAGTAACGTTTTGTTAAAACCATCATTAGGGTGTAAGTTACTCATTTTTGCAGTATGGCCTTAAATTATTTTGTCCACTGAATCCACTTTGCCTCATAATTTGTATTTTTCACTCAGTGCAGTCGGGGACTACAGTATATTGACTATTAGCACAAGGTTAGTTGACTGAATGCCCTGACAGTGTTAGCATTCAGCATGAAATCAGAACAGTTTGCAGTTAAAACCATTTCCTACCTTTTCTTGTAACCCAATAAAATCCACTGCAATTAATGTGGACAGAGATGTTTAATCCACAATTATGATCATCATTTCAACCTGCTGGCGTTCACATCATCGGTCTAGTCGTTTCTAAATCGTTTTTGAATCGTGAGAGAGTCGATTCATTGACCTATTCATAAACACAACCGTTGCTTTGTTACTGAACAAATGTCTTAAGACAGTGTCTTACTGCCACCTACTGGCGGTTTTAGTTGTTACATGGAAAACCTAATTTTACTAGACTTGCATATTTTTCTTATTAATATTTTTATTTGAGAAATTATTTATTTAAAAAAATCCATAAAGGTAAATAATTCAATGGATTTTCAAAAAATCTAAATTGCAAATATTGCACCTAATGGGAAAAGTGACTGCAGTAGAAGTACAAGAGAGAATGCAAAAGGAAGAAGTATCCAACTCTGAAAAAGTTTAGGAACCGCTGATATACAGATAACTAGGTCATGACTTAGTTAAAAATTAAGTCTAAATCAATGCAAATGTAGTTTAACAATGCAGTGCAAGTATTACAATGTACAAACACAAAAATTCCAATACTGTAAACAATTAATTTCAAACTACACTAACTAATTATATATTATATATTATATTTTGGAAGTTATTTGCAAATGCAGCCAAAGCACATGATAGCATTAAATATGGCTGTAATATTGGTCATGTGGACGTTACTGCTTTTTGCCTTGGCACGACTGCTCACTTTTTGCTTACAATTAAAGTCTGTTTAAACGTAGTCTTGTCTGCATTTTGGAAATTGTTTTTCTTTTTATTGAGATATTGTTTCAAATGTTGCTTTCAATGGGGGTGTATGAATATATCATATATTAACTCATATTTAACTCAATATTTTGATTCACTCTGTCTAACAAGTCATCCGTGCTGTTGTTCTATTGGAATTTTATTTTCCAAATGGCCGACGTAGCAACAGAGTGTCACCTCTTGGTGGATCTAAGCTCTTTGATTTATTTATTTATTTATTTATTTATTATTATTAATTAATTAATTTTTTTTTTTTATTGACTTCAATAACAAACATACAAAATCCAATTTTACACAAAACAATGATAATAACAGATCAGGATAAATAATATAAACATATAAAAAAATTATTAAAAGAGAAACCAAAGAGAGAAAAAAATAATAAAAAAATAAAACAATTAAACAAAGATACATACAAAACACAGATACAGCAAGAGGAAGCAAGGACTTACGTATCCGTGATATTTCCAAAATATTTATCTTAATAATCCAAGAATCTATCACTTTTCTTGTTAATAATTAGTCTAAGAGATTTAATAAAAAGATCCATTTCAATTAAAAAATGTGAAAAGAAGGCTGCGAATTGGAGAACTTTTGTTTGTGAATAAAATATTTTGCATACAAAATAAAAAAGTTAATAATGTAGTTCTCTGATATATCAGTTTTACCTTCATAGTAACAAATAATATCTTGAAGTTGTAAGTGTCTGGAAGAAGCAATGTATTTACCTATATGAAGATATAAGCTATAACAAAAGCTTTTTGTGTTTTCACAATGAAAAAATATGTCAATCAGCGTTTCGTCTTCATTTTTACAAACTGTGCTTGAACTATATCAATTTCCAAAAACTTTGCCAAAGTACTATTCACTGGATATATTTTATAAAGAATTTTAAAATGACCCTCTTTTGTTTTATTGGGAATGCAGCACTTATGAGGTAATAGCCAGGCTTTTTTCCAGTCTATTAGGTCAATGAAGGATGCAGTAAAATTTGCTCTTAGGAACATTATACTTTTTAATTTGAAAGATTTGTTGAATATATTTATTATTACATTTTTTGTCAAATATACTAACTCCATTTTAGATCAGCTCTGGTTCTTTAATAACATTTTCATTAAACATTAAATGAGATTTTATATGTTGAATTAGGGCTACAGAAATTGCTTTTTGCACAGCATTAAATTCTTTAAAAGGTAATGGAAAATTATTATTGGACATAAATTGTTCATAAGACAAGAAGTTGTCAGACTTATCAAAAATTGAGAGAATACCAATTATATTTTTGTTAAATCACGTGGATAGAAAAATACATTTATTTCTAATTCTAATATCAGAGTTGTTCCATAAGATGCATTTATGTGGTGAGAAATTGTGGGAACAACACAATTTCAAGGATCTATGCTCTTTGATACAATCCATAGATATATACATGTATACATTTATGGATACAATCAAAGTCCCTTTTACAAAGGCAGAGGACAGTAACTTTAAAATAAGGGTTAAAGGTCAAGTTTGAGCTTAAGGGTTTTTTTCATGTAGATAAATGTCATTACTTAAACATTTTCCAATGTCCTGTCTTTTACTAATTTGTATGGGCAACAAAAAAATCTTTGAAGTCATTTTTCTCAATTCAACACTCTAGTGAGTTAAGGTCTTTTGCTTTTGTAAGGCAGAAAAGTGACAATGACTATATCTGTTTTTTTAAAGACAGCTATAATAATATAACCTTAGTATATTTATTAACATTAACTAATAATAAACAACACTTGTACAGCATTTAATAATCATACTTCAACTTTTAATAATGCGTTATTAATCCAAAATGTTAATTTTGTTAAAATTAATACATTATATTAATAATAACAACAACGATGAATAACTTTATTTTCATTTAAAAATGAACAAAAGCCACATGTAATAATGATTTTTTGTGTCATCTTGATGTGATGTTTATTTTTCCTTTAAAAATATTAATAAACGCATTCGAGGCTGACTGTTGGAGATCTGCGCAAGTGCGCATGCGCAGCGGCGTCATTTTTAACCAAACAAGAGGACAGGGAAAAACTTATGGGAGCAAGAGATAACGTAAACACTTACTAAATCGACATTTATTTCTCAATTATGGCCGTGTAACGTAAAGTGTCACTAGTTAACAGTTTTGTATTTTTGTAAGTAATTTTAAAAATAAATGTTCTGTTGCACAAAACTCCCTGAAGCAGTTTGAGGTACATTAACTTAAAAATCTTGACATGATTCTGTATTTACAGTTTAACGTGTCGCCTAACACGACAAACAGCAAAATAATCACTTTTAATAGCTTTACTGAAACGACAGTACAGATTTTGATGCTTGAAAACGTGGTGAATTTCGCTTGTTCTCTGGCGCTTTTCACATTATGTTTATGTATCGTTAGTTACTGGACGTTATGCGACACAGATTAAGATATTAATTACATTATACAGAAGATAATAGCTTGGAGGTAATTTAATGTTGACCGCTGAACACAGTAAAGGTAATTTTGGCAGACTTTGTCAAATTAAAAACATTAACTCAGCTACCTGTTTCTTCATGTTAAATGCTATTATTAGCGCGTTACCTGTTTTCACCTTCATACTCTGGTTTCATTCACAAACACATCACAATCAGTAACATTAGTTCTAACAAATCGTAAATTAACCAATAGTTTTAAAGCTCTTTCTCTTTTGTGGTGTTGCTTGTCATTTAGCCAGAGGTGTCAGTGATTCAGTAAATCACTCATGCTTTAAATTTTATGTGGAGAACTGGTAAGTTACTTAGTTGCTTTCTAACTTGTTTAGAGCTGAAATTTTGATATAAACAGTGGTGCTGTTCTCAGTATTTATGCATAATTGTTTTAGTACCATACCATTTATACAACCATTTATCCAAACCAAGTGATACAGGATCAAGCGATTGGCCATCACGAAAGTTTGCTTTATGGCGACTGGTGAGTCTCCTTATTTTAGTGTAATTTAGACAAAGTTAAATTAATTAAAACTTTTTATAAATCCAATATATATCTTTCAGGCCTCTCTGTTGTCCTGGATGTGATGAAATGCTGGGACTTCCTTTGTCTTTATTGAATTTTTTGTGAGCAGTATCCAGCCGTACGGGCAGCACTAAGAGTCAGGTAATCTACAGAGTTGAACTGGATTACTGATAGCTGAGTGAATACCTTTAGGACAGTGTTTTTCATTCCTGGTCCTGAGATTCACAGCTATGTACATTCTGCATGTCTTATTTTACAAACACGCTAAGTTTAGTTCATAGAGCTGATGAGTCTCTGTGTTTAGTAATAGAGAAATACAACTGTAGTGCTTTGTGTCCTCATTACTCATCACTGAATTAAATCACTGAAGTTAAGTAAAAGTCAGTTGTATAGTACACTCACTGGCTGTTTTATTAGGTATACGCACACGGACCCTTACTAGTACCTGATTGGACCCCCTTTTGCCTTCCGGACTGCCTGAATCCTTTGTGGCATAGATTAAACAAGGTACTGGAAATATTCTTCAGAGATTTTGCTCTAAATTGACTTGATAGCATCACGCAGTTGCCACAGATTTGTCAGCTACACATCCATGATGCAAATCTCCTGTTCCATCACATCCCAAAGGTACACTATTGGATTGAGGTCTGGTAACTGTAGAGGCCATTTGAGTACAGTGAACTCATTGTCATGATCAAGAAACCAGTCTGAGATGATTCTCGCTTTATGACATTGGTGCGTTATTCTTCCGGAAAAAGCCATCAGAAGATGGGTACACTGTAGTCATAAAGGGATAGACTTGGGGCCTCATGTATCAACGCTGCGTACGCACAAAAACTTTGCGTACGCCAGGTTTCACGCTCAGAATCGCTCACGTTTGGATTTATTAACAATGAACTGAACGTGGGAATGTGCGCAGCTTTCTGGCAGGCGTACGCACATTTTTTGTGCGTGTCTGTTTTATTTCCATTGGCGACTCCTAGAGGCAGTTGTGTTAAATTGCTCTCTACAAAGTGTCTGAGCCTTGCAATGGCAGCTGTATGAGACGGGTTCAGCAGGTATATAAGGTTTCCATACCATACATTTGACCAGCTAAACATTAAAGCACAATTTGCAGCAGTCGCCTGTTTTCCCAATGTAATCTGAGCGATCTACCGCACGCACATTGCTATAAAGACACTTTCTGAAGATGAATTTGCATGCGTGAATCAGAAACATTTCCATTCAATAAATGTGCAAATAAAATATGATGCTTATTGATATGAACTTATTGATGATTCCTACTTGTCTTTCTCGTGATAAATAGTTGGCAAAATCTGATATGTAGCGGGGGAAAAAACAAGAAAGAGTTCATCAGACGCTGGATTCGAGCCGAGATCATGCTCGAACGTATCAATTCATGATCACAAGCGTCTTACGAGTAGCGCCACTGAGACTGTTAAACGTCCTGCAACATTTTACAGATATAAACCACACTATTTCTTTTTTTTAATGTACTCAGTGCGATGTTCAAACCCAACTGTGTTAACCGCATCAGCTAAACTCTCCCACTCTATTTTTTTCTTTTGTTGTTAATTCCGGAGAACAAACTTGCAAATAACACCGCTTTTCTTCGGTCTACCTCCGAAAGGAGCACCTCCAATTCACATTCTGTTCAAAGTTTCTCTTTTTGCTTGCTTTTGACATTGCTTTTTTGTTGGGTTTTGCCATTAGCATAGTCATTAGCATATTCATATGGGGGAGGAGGCAGGGAGGGGTTTTGTGCTCGTGCATGTTGCGCTCAGTTTCACGTTCATTCAGATGTACAAAAGAATATGCGTGAGATTTGGCGTACGCAGTGTTTCATACATCTGAATTTTTTTCTGCGTACGCACATTTACAGCTTTGTGCGTACGCAATGTTTTAGTAAGATTTCCACGCAAGTCTTCGTACATGAGGCTCTTGGTCTGCAGCAATACTCAGGTAGACTGTGGTGTTGACTTGCACAGGATTAAACACAGTAGCTTTGTTTCCATCCAAAGTATGTGAATGAACTTTATGCACAAAACTGGATTATTGCATGAAAAACGTGCGAATAAAGCTGCGTTAACATCTAATGAGTCAAAGCGAACAAAATCGTCACTTCTTGATTAACTGGCACCAAATATAAACAGTAAAAACAAAATTTGCTTCAGTAGGAGAAGCAGCATCAATCTTTTCTTCATCTAATAAATTACTGTACCTCAGAAGGCAATCCTGACATGTAGTAAACGCGCGGTGGCGTTTAAAGGTGTCAGGCGCAGAGCACAGACACTCTTGATTCGGGAGGTCATTAAAAATAAAATAACACTAATACTGAAACGGTAAGGCGTTTAAGAATGACCAAAACAACATTTCAGATGTTTTATAATGTGCTCAGCCTGCTGGTTTATCCATTCACACACATTTTATTTATCAACACATGATCTCTTATGCTGGAGTTTGTGCGGTAAAAGTGTTTCCATCGTAGTTTATGCGCATCTTTTCTTATTGAATAAAAAGTTTATCCTACTCAGTTATGCGCATAGGTTTTTTATGCGCATTTTCAAAATTTATGCACATCTTGGCGTTTCTATCAACCATTTTTTATGCGCATATGCAAAATGTGCATATAAATAGGTGGATGGAAACATAGCTAATGACAGAACCACTCAGTGAATGTTCTTATTTAACTGCATATCAGAGTGAGATCAGTCAGACATCTTGTGTTGTATCATATTTTTTCCAATTATGACTTATTATGATAGTAAAATTAGTAAAATAGCCTGTACATATTTTATTTATTTAATACATGGGAAAAAATAATTGAATGTAGAAAGTGATTTGTGCTACAGTAAACAGATGCGTTGAGCCTATTTGGCTCATTCAGAACTTAAATGGCTTACCCGTTGAAACAATACAGTGTAATACTGCTAGTTTAGTATACAACCTTACCATATTAGTCAAACATTTTAAAATACATTATTTAAAATTCTTTATATATATATATATATATATATATATATATATATATATATATATATATATATATATTTATATAAAGAATTTATATATATATATATATCTTTTATTTATTATTATGTTTATACAGCAGTTCTGTCTGGTTCTTGAATCTGATTGGCCGTGCAATATTTTGCCAGTAACATCACAACAAAATGTACTTTTGAGGCTTTATTAGTAAAGAATGTAGTTGTTTAGATTGCAACTATGCAGTTTATTTGTAAGAATAGTGCCTATTTTAAATTATTCACAATTTCTGAGAGAGCTCGTTGGCAGCCATCAGCCTGCCATAGTGTAGTAGACAAAGACGGTTGTCTATCCACAAGAGAGCACCAGGGCCACATAATAAGCCCTTGCTTCGATTAAAACTGTTGTGAGTTTTCTTGAGTGCAAAGCTGAAAACCGGAAGTGTTGCAGTTTTTAAGGTGGACCGGATAGAATCAATAAGAAGTTGTGAATTAGGTTGGATTCAGCCTCGTTCTTCCTTATCGCAAACACAACAGCAGTCTGGTAGTGATTGCGCTGCTTTTTTCGAGGTTAATTATTGTGATATTGTAACAGTCATTTAATGTTTGATATGCCTTGTGTATAAATGTCCCCTATAAGAGGACTTCTTTTGTGGTAGTTTTACCTTTGAGATGTAAGCACGCAGGTATGGGAGTTCAGTTCAGTTCTGGGGAGCTCTGAGAAGTGTGTGATGGTCGCTCTATCGCTGTATCATTCTTTTATTTTAATAATGTAACATTTTATTTTGCGACAGATGTTTGAGTGTGTTTTTCTTTTTCTTTTGCCTACTCATTGTCATTGACTGGCATGTGTGTAGTCGACAGCACTTGGGACAAACGCATAAAGGCCAGTAGGAATATCTGCTCCTGCTACTCGTGTGATATAGCTCATATATATAGATAAAAATGCATCCAAACAGTGCTGTTTCCACAGAGCTTCGTCTGTTTCTGTATTTGGGTTTCCAAAGGACATGACACAAAGACAGAAGTGCTTACAGTTCAATATTAATTATGTTCCAGAGAATTATAAAATACATAGCAAGCATGATTTGACAAAACAGCTCCAGAATCTCTCCTAGTTAAGTGCTGGATTCGGTTATAATCTCCTCAAAGCAGAAGCTGTGAACTTCAACCTATAAGTGTTTTTATTTGTTAAAATTGATCATGACATGTACAGTGTCTAGCATTAACGGTAAGCTGTAGCAACGATGTAAACAATGGGAAATGCTGCTTTGCACCGCAGACAATTCAGCTACAATTTCATATTTATCAGCCAAACTGCTGTAAACACACACACACTTCACCAGCACGTTCGTGTCTATGTATGTGTGCGACTGCATTGATTGTCTTTAGGCAGCTTTTCACATCTCAGATAATGTAGTCGCAAAAGATATGTGGATGATTCATGTGACTTACACCTACATATTCTGGATACATGTGAAAGACGTTGTGTAACATGTTGAGTTAAAAAAAGACAGGGTAGCTCAAATAACTCGTGGTAGCAGCTAAGAAATAAATCAAGGCTCACACAGGTCGCATCCCACATCTTGTGCTTTATTCTTCTTTCACGATATATTACAGAAAATAACTTAATCCGAGCATCAGAGAAAAAGAAAAAAAACTCCAGTGCACATGCGCTTGTTGCAGAAAGTTCACACATTCACGCACACACAATGCCAAACGCTCTTAAAGGAGCCGCACCCCATTTTCACTTGTTACAGAGACTTGTCAGGTTTTATTTTAGTGAGCAGGGAGGAGGTTGATGGAGGTTTACACAGCAGAAAAGCGTGTGCTTGTACGGGCGTGATGTGGAGCCGATCCGCAAATCGCAGCACATTATGACGATGACCAATCAGAGTCACTTGAGGGCGGGCCTTTCAGAGGAACTAGGAAATATATCAGTCGTTTTCATGTTAGCTGAGTAGCTGTGTATAATCAAAGTGAGATATATGAAAAAATAACGCGATTTCCTTCAAGTGAAACATAAGCACACATTGCTTTGCATCTTATAAACACAACCAAGCCTTAAAATTACATTCTGGACCACCCCTTTAACAAATCAGTAAAAAAGTGGATATGACAACAAAGAAATATAATTTTTGTTTGTCATTTATAAAAACAGCTTTGCTGATTAATAGTCTGTTGTATAGTAACATTTTGAAGTTTGGTGTACCTGTTGGTTTGTGTCAGTTTCATTAATAAAATCAATGCAGACAGCTCACCTTTTGGTAAAAATCTACCTTTCAATGAGTTACTAATGAGATCTGAGGATTTTTTTCCACTCCGCAGAGCTAAATGTAATCTTAAGAGTTAATAATTATCTGGTTGTGCAGTATTTTCTTTACACTTTACCTTTTAAAGACAATATCTAAAAAGGGTAATGTTCTGTATTGTGATGTGGTAACAGTGGCAAGAGAGGCAAACAGCTTACAGTGTAGCTTAGCGTTGCCTTCTAATTAGCCAG